GCAGAACTTTCTGCGAGCCCAGCTGCGTCAACTTTGAACTTCCCTACTATTACTAGTATAGCGAGCTGCACAGGCAGCGGAAGCGCCCGCAATACTAATATATATAGCTTCCATCTCCCAAGATGGCATCTGCTTAAGGTTGGGACAGACGGCATCTAAAGAGATGCGTCGAAGTTTGTTCGTCGTCGCAATGATACAAAGTTGAGCCTAGAATGGTGAATGTTAGACGATGGCGACCTTTCTTTTCTGCGCTACCGTCTCACTGCCTCCAGGCCCGCATTGCTATTGACGTCGCGTTTCAAGGCTGGTACGTATGTATCATACAGGATAACTGAATCCCAGGCCCTGTCCCGTGTAGAGTCAACTCGCTCCACCAGCTCGTCGATGGAGTCGACAGACCCATGTCCACTGTGCCTATTCAGCGCGTCGGCTGCTACTAGTAGTTCAAACTCGACTTTGAATCCTACATCGACCCGGGCCTATACTTCCAGTACCACCACGTCAACGGCTAGTTCAAACCCGATTTTTGGTCTTCAACCGCATGATTCTCTCTCATTGCCCATCACGACCTTGCCCGGAGGAGTGACCTTCAGTACTCAGAGGACCTCCACATCTTCATCCATTCCACCAACCACAGCAACTGGCTCAGGGACGCAAACATTGCCATTGCCATCCGTATCCTCGACCGACTCCCCGTCTGACGCCTATCCTCATTCCCCAATCAATATCGGCGCTCTAATTGGAGGCATCGTCGGTGCATTCATACTGATAGCCGCCCTCCGTTTGCTTGCAAGGTACATATGGAGGCGCAAAATGTGGAGAAGGAACGGGGGCCTCCCTTCAGACAGACGTCCGGACAACGGTGAGATCTGGTGGCGCCTGGTTCCATTTGTGAGACTGACCGCATCCTCATTCAGAGCAAGCTTTGGGCCCCGGCAGTGCCTTCTCCCCCGATGGCCCGATGTCTACGCAAATCTTCCAGACAGACGGGCAATCCACGTTGACAGTCGCTGCAGGCAACGAGGTATACCCAGAAGATGATGAAAAGGCTTCCGTTAGGTCCGAAGCCTATAGTCATCGATCGCTATCCTCTGCATTGGGTTCTAGCAGGAGAGAAACAGTCAGCACGGCAATGTATAGTGACAGTGCCCCGACCTACCGAACGAACATCACGGGCAATGGTGCCGGCAGATATTTCGACGGAGGACCTGCTGAACCACTTCCCTCCCTAGCTACATGCTTCCACTGCACTAGGACACCCTCTATTCCAAGGCGACGGCCATCTTTGGCGTCCGTGTTCACCAGGACGACCACTTGTTCGGCACAAGCCAGCGAGAGGGCACCTTCGTACCATACACAAGTCACAGCAGATTTCATCGCACATGTCCATAGACTAGGCGAGGATATCAGCCCCATCCTTGCATACCCTAGAGAGACAGCATCCAGCATACTGTCCGCGAGTCGCAGCGAGCGAAGCTCGCACAGCACACTCCTTCCCGAATATGAGAACTCGACGTCTTACGTGTAGTTCGCAATCCTTCACAATCCCGTCAACGCATGGCACACTTTCGTTTTACGGACTCGATACCTTGATCTCGGACATTGTTAGACGCATCGCTATTATACCGTCCAGATACCCAATTTGTAGCGCATTTCATACCATAACTTATAAATTAAGATTAAGTAACGACGTACGAAGCGAGGAAGTTGAGACAGACGGACAGCATGTGCTGAGATACGATAAACTAAGCTCTGACGCCTGGGGCCCCATTCAGATATCGATCTTGGAAACCGATCCGCCGTCTACGGGCGTGATCGATTCGCCATGGCAGTACTCGGTACTCAGACCACTGCTCAGAACACAGGATAGCATCTGTCAAACCAGGGCATATTAAGGAGCGAAAGGAGATGCGAGACGCATTTGTACCTTCTCGCTGTAACTTATGGCGATGGCACTAACGCTTGGGGTGCAAATTTCATTAGTGGAATCAGCTCTTCCTACTGTCTATCCTCTCACTAGTTCCACATGGAGTACCTTCACATCGTCCGAATGGAGTACCTTCACATCGTCCACATGGAGTACCTTCACATCGTCCACATGGAGTACCTTCACATCGACCGAATCTACATCCAGTACCTTCGCATCGTCCGAAATCCCTTCCTTCCCCGTACCCGCCTTCACTAAGGTATCATCATACATCACTGGCCCAAATCCAGCACAAGCGGTGAGCATCACATCGCCCGCCGCATCATCCGCTGCATCGTCCGTCGCATCGTCACGGTCCGCTATCTCTTCCCTCGTCGTATTCTCCTCCGCTATTCCACAATCATCTGTGCCTCTTGGCCCACTCGCACCAACAGCAACATTCGCGACGAGCATAGCATCTACTCCTCATGTCCCTGTACTAATTGGCGGAGTAGTTGGCGGAGTGTTATTCATCAGCGCCCTTGTCCTTGTGGCGGTGCGTATGCATATGAAAAAGCGCAGGACACTAAAGACAGAAAAAGGTCTGCCAGTCGACGGGCTGCAAGATGACGGTAAACATTATATTTCCTTGCACGAAAAGGAAATCCTAATTTGGAGAATTCCCTAACCCTCAGACGGGAAGACGCAGGGAGCTATGCAACCCAGTACCCTCGCTTCCACTTTATATGCACATGCGGACACACGCGAGTTCAGCAGCACGGCTGCACTTGTAGACGACCAGCAAGCATGCCCGGGAGACAGAGCGTCTCAAGAACATCCTCGCCGACATGCATCCAAGTCAACCACTCGGACGAGGAGAACGGCAATGTCAACATCATACAGCGATAAGGCACCGACATACCATACTACGGGGACGGTGTTATCGTCATCGTATAGCGATAGGGCACCAACATACCACACTTACAGCACAGCCATAGACGAATTGGTTCCACCACTACCCGGCCGTGTCATTTACGAGACAGATGCCGGAATCCTATTCACCAGAGACGGAATCCCAGACACACTTCCACCTCAGTACCAAGATCTCAGAAGAGACCCACCCACCGCCGCAAAATCATAGACATTAGCTTACTAAATATATTCCACTAGCACCGTTAGCTATTCGAGCAGTGCCCATGAACCTACTATGTAGTCTGGAATTAGTATCTACAAATAATATGCGGAAAACAATACGAAAACGCACTTTTCAAAAGGATCGGTCTAGTCTTATCATACTCGGAATGTCCATTGTGACTGGCCGGGTAATTTCAGATTTCTGGATCATTTGTTTCTGAGAGAGATGATATCAGATACTCTGGTGGGCCGTGGCTACGGAGCAGAATTGGTCCCGGGCATCCCAACCAGCGAGCGAAGAGTCTAAACAGGGCGGATTGTCCGGCCAGTGTGCGACTATTCTTGAGGCTTGGGATGAAAATCAACAATTAGGCACATGGGCAGGTTTCCCAAGAACTGTTCTTCTTCCTCTTCTTCGGCGGAGGGTGCAACGATACGCTGATTTGAACTCATCCTTATGATGCTTTGCAAGATGGTAACCGTCGCACGCGTCGGAGAGGCAGAGCTGCTCGGCAGACGCTCGAGGGTTCCAGCCGGGCAATGTCATGGATCGACCGCCACGAGCACCATTGGCCCGCTCGCTCTGCATGGATTCCACTCAAATAAGGAGAAAGCAGGTGCAGAAGCGAGACTACGACAAGCAACAACATCCCCCAAGACAGTGCAATCCCTTGGGCCGCATCTGCGATCAGGGAGGAAAGGATGTGCATTTGGCTCATGAGCCGCTATCCGTCTCACATCCATCCAACTTGTTCGATTCCTCAAGCTATCTGCCAACCACTTCCTCAATGAAATTTCAGCGGATGGTAAGTGGCAACTGGCCATTAAAACGTGAAGCATGGACCGCTTGCGACTGCACACATACGAGTCGTTTGATATTTTGCAGAGCGATAGTTTAGCTCTCGTCCGACTCCGGTACCTCCTATGGCCCGCTCGCGCGGTGCTGCAAGGCCTTCCCCAGACCAGGACCACCTATTCTCGCCGTCACCATCACCGAATCAGCCTCATCCTAGGCTAATCCAGACAGTCACTACTGCTTCCTCTTACTCAATTCTTTCGTCCGACTCTACCACGCCGTCCTCTACGACTACCTCAGCCCCATTAACCGTCCCCCCTCAAACTCCCCCTGATGTTACGACTGCTCCAGGATTCACTACCACATCCTATGTAGGTATTCAAACAACTCTCGCGCTAGCAGATACGACAATGACGACAACATTTATTTTATCTTCAATATCCTCCTCAACTGCATCTTCGACGTCTGTGCCCGGCTTGGTGAGCAAATCTTCATCTCAGTTGGGCTCAGCGAAGAATCTTCGCATCTGGCTCGTCATTGCCGCCGCCGTCGCAGGCACAGTGGTGTTCTGTGCTGTTGTCGCTCTTCTATGGCGCGCAGACGGAAACGACGAAGGAAACATGACAATCAAATATCCGAGGAGGCTCTGGACAATGGTCGATCTTGCGTACATTTTCTCTGGTACATCGATCATCGTCATCCTTACCATTATCTTTCATTTTAGACGAAGCAGATCTGCTAGTCACCCGTCCCACTAGCGAGATTGGGTCTGTCTACTCTATACCACAGCGTAACGTCCACTCTGTCGGGAGCATGACGGCGCTCGTGGGGAGTCGGAGAGCCTCGGACCTGGATCATGTTAAGGACTCTGTTGAGGAAGAGATAGATCAGTTTTCCCCATTTCCGGCACTCACGTTGGGAAGCGACCTTTCGCTACTATATCGCGTCAATAACGCTGGAGCAGTGAACGGAACGCATGGCCGACCACCGACATTCTGGAACGAGCGTAACCTATCTTCAGCACCTGTACGCAGTACTAGAGTGTCTTACTCGGTCTCCGAGTTGTCGGGGAATCATGTCGTACCAGCTACTCCTCCCCCTGCGTACTTGGCCGAAAATGTCCAGGAGCGGATCCATCACTGTCTTGCTTCCTCTTGCCTGTCCTTACTGGTTTTTCGTGCGTCCAAGATTATTTCAACAAATGCCATTGATCTATTTAATTTGGTTGCTTCGTTCACAAAAATCGCTGGTAAAATCTAATGGGTTCTGAGACGCGCGGCAGGATTCCCGACGCGTTATTTCGAGATGAAGTCACTGAACAAGCAGATACCACTGACCTGAAAGTTCATTTTAGATGCTGGTGCAGCCTCTGGACAGAGTCTCTTCTGGTGTTCATGGGTGCTGTGTGTGGTCGTCCACGCCCATGCGCTACGACACACTGATCTGTTGAGCTGACAACTCGGACGAGGTCGGAAGTTACGGCCTTGGCATGTTTCGTTGACATCAGCGCTAACGTCGAAGCTGAAGCCAGTGGTATTCTCACATTCGTAACAACCCCAGGCTGCAAACGATTCAAATCTTCATATCGCAATAACAGTTGTAGCTCGTCTTACTATGACCTATTCTTAGCAAGCTCCTCACACGACAGGTCTGATGTCTAGTGTATAGCTGACGGTATCTCAGTCTCCCAGCGGGTTCAAAGCGGGCTACTTGCACTTGCTGACCTAGAATGTACGCAGAGCTTCGAGCGTCGATGCCAGTCCTTATGTGATTGGCGGAATGATACCTTAAGATGGCATCTATCCAGCATCGCAGTACTTAGACAAACTTCTCTTCGCTACGCGACGCTGAGCTTGGGAGAACCGCTATTCAGCATCAAACGAGAATCCCTGTGAGTGATCTCATCAAACTTGAAAATTGTTCTATGGAGGTGGAGATGGTCTTTTCTCTCAGCGTACGTCTCGTACGTTGGGCACCCTCGTCGTCTCCAACCCCAACCATGGCTAGTAGATTTCTGGGACGCCGAAGCTACGGGATTGTTCTCCCTTGGGCGTGTGTCATCCGTGCCAGCCCCGTCAGCGCCGATAGATGGGGGCCACCAAATGTTGTGGGACCTTTGCACCCATCGTTCCCCTGGAGTCTTTCAGCAGCGCCTCCTTGGGCAGACACCAGCGACGTCACCACGGCTCTTACTACATCGCATTCGCCATCTCCATCGGCCGCACCTGTGTCGACGGTCACCGCTCCAAGCAACTCTTCCTCATCCCCAAACTCTGCAGCCACTCTCGTTGCGGGCAATAGCACACAAATTGCCACAGCTTTTGGCTACACACTCACCTTCCCACCGCCCGCGTCTGCAGCATCATCCACGTCCCCATCGACATCGACGCTGACATTGATAAGTGGATCAGCTGGCATTGCGACCACGTCTCGCTCCACGGTTAATATCCCCGCAATAATCGGAGGGGTCATAGGATCCATAGTGCTTCTTGCAGCAATTGGGCTATTAGCTATCCGTGCTCGCAGACGAGAGGCGCCCAAGGCAGATTCGACGCCACTCACCAATGAGCCACTGAATGAGGGTCAGTGATATGACCTATGTTTTTCAGCCCGAGAACCTACTTAGACCTTTCCATCTTCGCACAGAACACCCGCAGCTCCGGGATATGCATCTAGACAATATCATTGCGGCAATGCACCTCCACCCCAATGTACATCCAATGAGCAGCACCCACACCCAGCCATCTTGCTTGGACGTCAGCAAGACATCTGGACCGAATCCATATAACCAAGAGCCTACACCCATTTATGTGTTCACTAGAAACATGGCCCGCTCGGTGTCAGACGACGACAGCGCACCGTTGTATAATACCCCCGCAACTGACACGAGGACTGTCGAACAACCGATACCGCAGATCAATGCAACTTTGGTATCGCCTACATCTCCAATTCGCGAGACGGACGCCGGCATCTCGTTCACGAACGACGGTATACCGAACATACTCCCTCCCGTGTACCAAGATTTCAGGAATGTCTCACATACAAGCTCCCACAGCTAAAAACACTCTTTCCTCATAACCCTGTTCGTCTTGTAGGCCTGATTTCTTCTACCGACCGATCGTATTCACCCGATTCACTACTGTATCCAATGCAAATATATCATTAGCAAGGAATCCACGAAAGCAATACGATGAGTAAAGCAAGTCTCTGAGCACGATAAATACAACTGGTTGGATCACTATCACCCATTTTTTGCAGAGACCCGCAGCATAATCTCCGAGATGATGTCCGCGGCAAACGGGACACGGCCACTGGTCACCTGCACCATTTTGTCTTTGAACGCTGCGGAAGACTTTAGGAGGCTCCAATAACGAACGACTAGTGCCAGTTCCATTTCTTTGATCTCTTCGTACCTGTTGTGCGAATCTGAATATGACTTTAATGAAGCAGCAGAAACATTCGGAACAGACCTCGCGGTAAATTCGCTGAACACCTCAGTGAGAAGGATATCTGGCGTCAGCTGGGACTCCAAAAACTGTAGTGCAAGCTTCCGTAAGCCTTCAAGTTCCAGCTATCGTTCCGCCTGTTAGCCGATAACATAATAGGACAATCGCAAATAAACAACCTTATGAGCCAAACGGTATATAGATCTGCAAGATGGTGGGGTTGGTCGATCCACATGCTCGCCATTATGCTGTGCGACAGTAGCATTCTGACGTGGGGTATTTTGCATTCTGAATGGTGCAAATTCAATGAAACCGGTGTAAAGGTAGTACAGAAGCGCCTCCCAGCTATAATCGGCCAGTAAGACAAACACATGCATGGTACTTAAACTCAGAGACGCACGTCCGAGAAGCAGTTCCGAGAAGAACAATGGTGGTCCCGTCAAAGTCTGGGGTAATGTGAGTACCTCTAGCTGCCGGATGGTTGCAGACCCGAGCATTCTCACCCGAGTTCGTGTAGAGGTCGCTCTCTATGTCATTCTTATGCTGTATAACGTCGAAAGAACTGCTTGACGAATACATTGAAGCTATCGATAGTCAGGTCATGACAAGGAAATGATATAAAGCTTCAGACTCACCGTTAGCATCACTTCTGGAGTTGTCCAGCACATGGGCACCTTCTGCGACGAGTGAGTCTTCGAGCGTTTTCGTGCAAGGTTTAGGGCGATCCCGCGCCGCCGCTTTCTTGCGGGGCTCACTTTTGATAACCACCATATCACCATCCTCTTCGTCTTCATCTTCTTCTGGCTCGAAGTCACTATCGTGTTCATACTGCTCGCACGCGAGGGTATATTCGTCGAGACGTGCATCTCTGGGCAGCTCGAAGCCCTCCATGCTTTCTGCCGTTTCGAGAACTTGAGAGAGAAAAATCTCAATCAGCGTTCAGCACATATGCGATAAAGCGAGCCCTACTGACGGCCTTCAAGCCGCTCATAGTGAGACGTGAGGTCTCCCATATTCGCGTGGAACACGCGCGGACAACTGAGGTGCCCCACGGAATCTCGTCTCCGAAATGCGATGAATCGAGTGTTCGACAGAGGCTGGGCAGTCAGTACTCGATGAATCAAGTTCAGAGTGGGAGTGGCACGAGGTGTTGGTGTGTTAGAGGAGCGTAGAGAGACATGCACTATGACTGCGTCCTCCTCCTGCATCAAGGACGACGTTTCGTAGGTCCTCTGTGAAAGTAATGTGCCCAGTGCAATTCGCCCGTTGTCAAACACCGCCTGCTTTGTGAGAGGTTTTGGAAAGTACGAGTACCCGCCAAGCGACTGGGCGTTCACCGTAGCGCAGACCACCACAGCTGGGATCGCGTCCCGGTCTCCCGCAAGTGTATACAAAGATAGACGGCATTTTCGTTGCTTGCTAGAGCCTTCAGTGAAACGTGATACCTTGAGCATATAACCTGGCCAGAACACGGCGCTCATTCGGGAGTCGTTCTCGGTGTCGCCCCCGTCTGTACAGAGAAAGTTTTGGAGGTTGTCTAATTTGAATCGAACCGAAATGTCAAAATCGACTGCATCCTGCTGGACGGTCATATAGCCCATGATGGCAAGATGAGTGTTGGTAGGAAGAGAAGCCAGATTTCGTGTGCGTTGAGGAGTTATGGTGTTCGCATGTCAGACGCGTGCAAAACTGGTGCGTGTTCAAAGGACTGTTAATACGTAAAGCGTAGTGCGCCGACGAGTCCAAAGGGTAAGAAGACCGCTAATCTTACACGCTGACCCCAGAATAAGATGCGAAACTTTATAAGCAAGGTCGGTGGGGGAGGAGTGCCAAAGAGCGTGAACGAACACTCCGACGCGTCACACACATGTATTAGACGCGTCTGATCACACGAGCGCGCTGGCCTCCCAAAGAGTCGTCTGACACTTCAGCGGGGTTCGCAAAGCGACAACCAAGTACATCAACGACCAATGTATTGAGTAGTGTACAAGGCAGACTTAGCCACACAGTACGACTTTCTTACTTCACTCATATAAATACCGAGAACGAGACAGATCATACCAGAGAATCGAAGTAAGTCCCAAGAAATGAATGCCGCCTCAATCATCTTCCGACGATGAGCTGTCATAGAGCATCACATATTCCACCTCCTGCGCGTGGTTGTTCGGGGAGACAAAACGCGACCTGCTATCTGCGTAAGCATCTTCATCGTCATCCGATATTGGGGACGAAGGTACGTCAACCAGCGACATAGACGAGTCGAGTGAACCATCCTCAGACGGAGGACTAGACGGTAACGTGGGTGCCGAGTCAACAGTGGTTGCGCATCGCGGAATAGCTTCTGCAGGCGCAGAGATATTTTCCATAGATCGCGGCATTATGACCGACGAAGACGCGAGCGAGGTATCCTCCGTGGATAGCACCGACAGGGCTCGCGTAACTTCCGCGACAGTGATGCTAACGGAACGATACATCAGTATGAGTTCCAGAGTATAATACCCCACGTACTCGACCCAAACACTGTGACCAAATTGATGTCCTGCTCCATCGCTGAGTCTCCAGTAACTGACGTATTTACCTGGGATGTCAGGCGCCTTGGAAATATATCGTCAGCAACCACAATAGTTAGACTGTGCGATCTGGCCCGACGCACCTTCATCTCTCCTGCAGCAATCTCAACCTCTTTGCCAGCTTTAACAGATCCAACCTTGATTTTGCGCGGAGCGTCATTGTGAGGTGCCATACGATCACCAGCAACGAAAACCAGCTCAGTAGTCTCTGGCCAGTCGCTCTTTCCTTGATTCATCATCCGCCATGATTTCACAAATTCCGCACCGGGAGGAAAGATTTGACCATCTGGAATATTGTTATCTGAAAGAAAGCTGGCGTACAAAGGCTGGGGCTCGCTTATCGACCTAAACGGAGGCTGTCTTGCAGTTTCAGGCTTGACAGCCGTATCGATGTGTGCATACGGTGCATGTTCAGGGCTGCTTTCGCGGCGAACGGAAACAGCATTTAACTTCCGAGACAAATCACTTATACGAGGCCCAAGAGGTCGGCAGAGCAGCGGTTCGCCCACAAGCGGAGACTCTTCGACTGCGGCCTTACTCTCGGCGGCAGACTCGGGCTGAACCTCTTCAACCAGTTTGGGCTCCTCGACAACCATACCACCTGGCATGGTCTGTCCCTGTATGACGCTAGGTACGGAAGCTCCGGCATTAGGCGTGGGAGGAGTCAACAGGTGTTTCAGCATTGAGGTTAATTCAGGCCAGAGTTCGAGCCAGTCATTATTCACGGGACCAAGACGCGGAATTGAAGTAGAAGGAGCGGTCGATGCAGGAATCTCCGACGGAGTAGTCAGCCCACCAGACCAGACCTCCGCCTCAGGATGAACATATTTCCCATTGCAACCTTGATCCAAGTCAATTGAACGATCTTCAAAAATGGATGCCGGGATTCCGACGGGGGACGTCTCTGGTTTCTCAGCGGTCAAAGGAGCGGTCGGTGCCAATGGGGCAGCGTCGGCATGGATTGGTGAAGCGTTCAGGACGGCGTCCATCGGTCCGAGAAGAGCTGAATCCGGTATTGTTACACTCTTGAGAAGGGAAATTGGAAGTTCTCCGTCAACCTCTAGACATTGGTCGGATGGCAGTGAAGGAAACCTCTCGGCCAGCGCCGGAGCGGTGCCAAATGCTAAGCAGGGGGATCGATTGACATCAACTTGCTGAATGTCCGATGGGAGAATGGGAGGAGAGGATGCACGACACTCATCCAGAAAACTCTCCGCAAGTTCACACTGATTCATGATGGGCTTTTGAATTATTGGTATGATAGTATCCGGCGACTTCATCTTGAGGAGAGGGTGCGCTGGCGGATGAACAGGGAAAGGCATGGCCTCGCAATTGTGGCAGAGATCAAAATCGGGGCAAGAGGCGTGCATACACTGCATCGAGTGTTCAGAAATACCAACTGCTGGAAGACTTGTGTGCATACCTTATAGCGAACGCCAACAATACGGCGCCCACATACATCACATGTGGCATCATGCAAGACAGTGTTGCCTTCACCATTGCGGATCTGTTGTGTTGTACAATTAACATAATTCAAGAACCGTAAAGTCGTCGTACCACGAGCGCCTCCGGGTTATTGATCTTAATAAAGCTATGGCCGGGATGCTGCTCCGGTGTGATCCTGAAGTAAAGATAACTTCAGTACAACATCCATGCCAACCTAAGACTACTCACTGGAAACATGTAGCGCAAGTATCGAAGTCCGGGCAGTTCAAACATTTCTGAAAAGATGTAAGTTGTGTTGTCAAGTCTGCTACATATCAGTACCCACAAAGCGATCACCGTGAACTCTTGAATCGCATAGATTGCATCTGGCGGAATGCATCATGGATGACGTTTCTTCTGGCATGGAAGATATGGTCCTCGAATTCCTCGGCGGTGAGACTCGTGTCGATGAAGAAACCGAAGCACGTTCCCCTTCTCCTGTAAATACCGTATGTACAATAACTTCGCCGGGGCGCTCTATCTCGAAGAACTGATGAGCCAATCCATGCTGGGCCCGAACACCTGTCTTCGAAATGCATTCAGTACACAGGTCATAGTCCGGGCAATCAAGGCATTTGTGCCGAATGCCACTAATTTCACGGGAACACATGTCGCAAATGACGTTTCTGTGTACAGGTAAGCTCGGTGGGGGCTGCGTCGAGGGGACCAGTGATTGGATACGCAGCCGGGAGGTCTCCTCACGAGCACAGTCGAACGCGACCTTATCTCCAGGAACATGAATCGGGAAAAAGTGGTGCGAGATGTCGTGTTTGCTGCGTTGTGTGGGAGATGACATGCAGGCATTACACAAGTCGTAGTCTTCCAGGATATCAGGTCAGCTTTCCGGTATAATGATGAGGCTAACCACGTCTCACCATCACATTCTATGCATTTATACCTCACACCATGAATGTTATGCTTCCTGCAAACATCGCATGTAATGCCAGTATGTGTAACTTGTTTCATGTCGCGTGGGCTGCGTACGATGAAGAAAGTATGACCGAACTGATGCTCTGCAACCGCCATGGAAGATATGCAGGCACTGCACAGGTCAAAATCTAGACGAGATGTGTTGTCAGTGATCCGAAAGTCAAACGAACGAACGCCAAAGAAAATGCAGCCTTACCGCGGCAAGTAGCACACTTGAACCTGACTCCCGAAAAATTGTGCTTGTTACACGAATCGCAGGTAACGCCCCAATGTACGAGATCGAATCTTCCTAATGTGTCGTTACTATTCACACTAGGAAGCGGTCGGAGATGTGAAGTCTCGGGGGGCACAGGCCAAGTAGGCGGCACCAGCGAAGGCGTAGGAGGAACGGGCGACATGTAGCATTGAGCAGGTGGCAATGGCGGAGGCGTAAGAGGAACAGGCGGTATGTAGCATTGAGGTAGTGAGAGTGGACCAACAAATGGAGGCGACATATGCGGAGACGGTGGCATAAATTGTGGGAAGGAGGGGAAATGCTCAGGGGTAGGGCTAGGTACGCGGATGACGACTGGGTCGCTGGGGTGTGATCGGCTGTCATTCCTCTTCCCAAGCGCACAGGATTGTGAGGTGTCCGTTCGAGCGCAGTGCACGCTGGGAACTGCAGGCGCAAATTCAAATGCCCAATCATCTCCAAACGCAGTTTTCATCGTGCGGTCAAGATTGTCCATGAATCTCTCGATAAGGGTCATAACCTCGGCCTTCCCTTGCGAAATGGAACAGCAATGATCTGCAGTTTGCTGGCGCGTCTCAATACTGGAGGCTGAAACCTGGGACATAGGCGAAGCTGCGCGTTCTGGACATTGCTGTTCCGCAGTCGAACACTGCGCTCGTATATCGCCGCGCACAGCCTGAGGCTGCGCAGCGATATCGGTGAAGCGTGGAGACAGGGTCGCTGCCCAGCTAGGCTCCTCGACTACAGACGGCGGCTCCGGTTGAGAACTAGGCACACTTGGGTACAGAATGGACGGTGGAGGAACATAAACAGGAGGCCAGCTGTTCAGCCAATTCGTTGAGCCCACAGGCGGCGGCGGAGGAAAAGCAGTCAAAATTGAGTGTCTTTGTTCTTGCGATGAGTTGCCAACCTGAGTTGGTCGCCCAAAAGTCCAGGAATCACAATGGCCGGATTTAGACGACTCTTGAGTCAAAAGGTCGAATAGAGAAGGTCTAGAGCTCTCATCCGCAGTAGGATTCGAGGGGGACACCGACGGCTCTTGATTTAATAATTCGAATAAAGACGGCCGAGTGGTTTTGGCCCCAGTGGTGCTGGAAGACGCATCACCGTCATAAGACGGCCTCCTTGGCAATGGCCTCGAAGAAGACTGCGGAGTGATGGGAGGACTGGGCGTCAAACGCAAGGGGGAACGAGAGAGAGAGCGACGAGGCAAGGGCTCTTGGATGTCGTGGACGCTGACATTGGACCTATTTGATGTGCGTTCCCGAAGTCGCTCAATGATAAACCTGCGGTCGTCGGTCCTGCGCTTCCGAATGCCCGCCGCGGTCCAGTCCACTATCGTTGCAGAACTCTGACTCGTACCCTCAGATGCGATGATGCTGGGAAGGTCACTGTCGACGGACATCATGCTGGTCCGCTGACTAGAGCTTGTTCCTGGGGACTTGTGAGGAGTTTCGTCATAAACTGAGAACTTCAGCAAAGCTCCCGGCCAAGAGCGACCTCGATAGGGGGCAACATGCGATTCATACTCTTCGGCATTGTGCGCCTCCATGCCAATTAAAATGCGTTGAGAATGAGAAGGCGAATTAGGGGAGAACAACAATTTGGAGAGGTAGAATGAATGAGATATTGGAAAGATTCGGTACAGCTGCGGGAATGTCGTATCAGGATATGATGTTGAGACAAAGCGGGAGACATAAGTACCTGAAGATACAATTGCTCAAACGAAGGAAATGTATCAGAAAAAGTAAACTTTCGCGTTTCGTTGCGATATGTTGCTTTGACGGTAAACATAGTTGAGCGAGTTAGACAGGCGTCGGTGGGGGAAACCGACGCGCGCATGCGCGCGTCGTCACCTCTTATACTACACAGGCGCCCATCCAATTACGGGCCCAGACGCTGTGCCATTGGTCCGCACGTGCTATGGCCTTGGCTCCCAACCTCTACCATCTCCTCTCTTCGACCCGGTATGATTCAAGCCTTCTCGCTGCCGCATGGAATACTGCCGCGAACGAGGGGCTACAATCGCCTTACTTATTCCTCAGATACCATCATGACCGACTAGTTGCTGCCGCACGACAGCATGGATGGCATGCCGCCCAAGGTGGCAAATATGATGACTTGCAACACGCATGCGATAGGGCCGTGCATGATGCTCACTCCAGATCAGACAGTGCTGGAAAGCCCATGAAGGTCAGCTTGAGGTCAGCGACGATTTACTTACCTGCTTCTGAGCTGTCTGGCAAGCAGGTCCGTATCCTCTTGAGCGAAAATGGTGTCTTTTTAGCGTCGGCTGCCGTTGCAACTACTTTACCGATCTTAGATCCAACCGCTGTTGCGCGGTCTCCTCCACCTGAGACCGATACTCCTTCAGCACGAGAGATGCTCCTAGCAGATACCACTCTGATCATTTATCCCGATATCTGTTCTACTACTTCGAGTCTCTTCACTCAGACAAAGACTACGCACCGCCCGCAGTACGATGCAGCTCGCGCACGAATGGGCATCCCACCTCTTCCAGCGCCATCTACTGCGGATGTTCTACTCTATAGTCCTTCGGGGGGTCTCACTGAAACCTCAATCAGGAACATTGCCTTCTGGCGTCGATCTCCTCCATGCTGGATTACCCCTCCGGTCGCAGTGGGATGCCTACCAGGTGTTATGCGGCGTTGGTTGATCGCACAAGGTATAGTTGTTGAAGCACGTGCAGATGAATTGAGGAGGGAAGATATTGGGGAAGGGGAGATCGTCATGACGTTCAATAGCGTGGAGGGTTGCCGCCTTGCTCTCATCCAATTTAAATAGCCATATCGACTTAGTATGTTTCTCCTATTTCTGCTATTGATTGGCTTCATGACGGGCGCTGTAAAGTTGCGGCGGTTTGGCCGTCTTGCTATGCTGCAATCACCACTGTAGGCGTTGTATGGCCCATCATGCTCTACGTCTGAATGGGACTGTCGTCCCTTTGGTTCTCCCTCGCATAAATGTAAATAAATGAGTCGCAGACGCTAGCTGACACATGCTCTGCCAGAATTGAATAAAAACATGGGACAGATGCAAGAATGGTTTGCAACTCAGGCTTGTCGTCCTCCGGCTGGTGGTTCTCTGCATTTATATTTATCCGTTTCCATCATGTTGCATAGCCATGATAGTGCTTGGAAGGATAAGCCGCCGGCATGTGTACTTGTGCTTTTTTTTCACATGGACCTGCCGCACGAAGACGTTGCTTGGCTGCAAGGCGTGAAATTCTCAGTGGGAACCCTGCCTTTGAATGGACATGTTCTGCCCATGGCGATAATAGCAGAAGTCAAAGAACTCAGCGAGCAGCTGACAAAGCAGACCAACTGTCCAATGGCAGCTCGGCTCGGTCATGAGACACGCTCCTCCTGCGGAGCTTCAAGGACAAGATTGTCAAGCACGTCTCTCTCCGCATGACCCTGGGCTGAATGAATGGAGATCAAGATGCTCAGCATTATAAGTACACCAACCCATACTCTCGCCCCTCGTTGCCCAACTTGTAATTCTATCTCCGCGCTACTGCAAGCATGGCTGAGCCAGACAAGCATCATCCCTGTCTCTACTTTGAGGACGGGAACGTCGTACTTTCTGCCCTTCGTGGAGATGGGGAGCGGCAATACTTCCGGGTGCACCAATCCATCCTATCCAAACACTCTCCAGTACTCGGCGACATGCTCTCCATGCCCCCACTGAAGGCATTCGGATCAACTAACGTCCTGGAGGAGGCGTATGGCGGCGTGGTACATGTGCAGATGCCCGATAGTGGAGAGGATTTGGAGAGCTTTCTCCAGGTATTGTACGACCCACTGTACGTCGTGTGACCCCTGGAGCCCAGCCCCGCTTACACCCGAACCTTACCAATGACAGAGGAACAGCATACAAACGTTTCAACCCCCACACACCCGTCCTCGTGGAAGGCACGCTCAAGCTGGCTACAAAGTATGAATGTGACGCCCTCCGCATGCGCATCGTCGAGAATCTTGAGGCCGACTGGCCGCAGACCCTCGGGCAATGGGACGCCCGCCGCGCGGAGAGCATCCTCGCCCGCTCGGAACACTCGCAACAGTTCACCGGTAAGGTGAACGGGCTCTATCTCGACGACCGCCTGCCTGAGCCTGCCTCCGCGATCCGCATCGCGTCGGACTACAACATCCCCAGCATCCTCCCCGCCGCATTCTACCAGCTCGCGCTGCTCAGCACCGATGCCGACTGGGACGCGTGCCGCGCGAATCCAGGCAAGCATCTCCGCTTCGGCGCACGCACTGCGCGCTGGAAGTTGCTCGACAAGGACGACCTCATGCGCCTCGTCCACGGCCAGAGGCTTCTCGCATCGTACACACGTGCGATCGGAACTGATATCTTTGGCAAGCGGTGCAGGCGCGGAATTAAGACATGTGCGAAGGCGCGAGGGGAGTGCTGGAAGTATTTCCAAGAGGATGCCCCTATCTCTATGGAAGACCCCCTGGACATCCTGTACGATTGCTCTCGCCTGGACACCCTGTTCACTGATGTCCCCTGTGTGGCGTGCGTAGAGGACATCAGGGTACTGGCAGAAAGAAAGCGGCGAGAGCTATGGAGGAGTCTGCCGGCCTATTTCAACCTACAATGATATTTGCACCCCAATGTTCTATACTTCCTATTCTTGGGTATGACTAACTTATTGGCGTTTTTCGTGTCGTGTTTGACTCTTTACTTGTATCCTTTGTACTTTTCAACATGTAACATCATTCTAGTGTTTCTTCAGATCCAACTTGACGTTTGCACATGTCGATACTGTTTCCCCGCAGATTTCGAATTCACATCTCCGCATTTACACAATCTTAAACAACATACGTCGTTTTCGACGAGCTATATATGCATTGAATAGCAAGATTGTGTGGGTGAGATGACAATACATAGCAATATATGATAGAAATACAGATAATGCATGCACGGCAATGCGACAGCCAGATGCTAAATAACACTGAAATTTACGCCATGTCTACGGATACTCGCACAAAGAGCGACCTCATAGCAATTGAAGAATGCATGATCGAGAGCACAAGAGCTGATGCAAATACACTGGGAAATGGAGCCTGAAAACTTGTTCACGGTCGACGCAAGAAAACAGAATTGCCTTGGGCGCGGTCGCACTTTCTCGCGATACGCACCGCGCTGTCGACGGCACGTTCCACCAAACCTCTGGATGGACTTGTTGTAGGAGTTTGCGATAGGAGTTCTGCGAGGAGACGGTTGAGCAATCGCCACATCTACTACGAGATCCTACTCATGCTCACCTTTGTACTGCAGGACATATCTCATGATCCGCTGGGTAGGTTGAATAGCTAAATCGCGCACGAGGAGCTTCTTCTCCTCGCCATGGAACGATGATGATGTGGGTGAAGAAGGGAACCCATTTGAGGCAGTGAGGTTCGACAGGGACGACGGCATGCTCTTTCGCTTCCACGCGCTCAGCGTCCGCGAGAGCGTAGCAGTTGCGCCGTGCCCAGTTTCCTTACTGACGCTCGCGACACTTCCATGCTTGTCAAAGACCAACGATGGGGACGCAGAAGACAAACCATAGGCGAGCCCAGCCCCGAGAGCAGCTGTAAATATCCCGCTGTTGGGAGCATTGTGTCCAACGCCGACAGATAGCCTGCGAGTACCTAGTACCCGCGCGTTTTCCAGGGCTATTTCGCCTGAGCTCATGCTCCTCCCCATAGCCGCCGATGTTGTGCTAGACCCAGCACGCATACGACTGCTCTCTCCATGGCCAAGGGCACTCGCCATCTCGTCATGAGATTTTCGGATAAGCTTTCGTCCACGCCTCTCCTTCTCCCCGCCATCGGCAAAGAACTCGCCAACGATACCACACCAGGCAACGAAGGCGACCTCAAGTTCCTCCTCACATCCAATGAAAGCCGCGCTCACACCCCAGGCGGATGGATCATCTACTAGACGCACCAAGAAGGCCTCCGATGCTTGTATCAGCGCAGGCACATACGACAGGAGCAGAGAGAACAGAGGATGGGATGACCGTGCGTTGAGCAATTGCCTAAGCCGAGCCTGATAACTGCGCTCGGTCCTGACAAGTTCACGACAGCAAAGCAAGGCCCGTCGCGCTGCCTTCCACTCCTCCTCGTCTTCGAGGTCATCGAGCCCTTCTACCGAGCCATCGTCACCATCCTCACTCTCCGAGTCACTGATGTCGCCGAAATGGAATTGTGGACTTGTCATACTCTCCGGACTAGCATGGGGCATGCCGCCTACAATCATAGACCGTGCTCTGTCTCTGCCTCCACACTCGCTGCCATGACCATTCTGACTTCCTGCTGGAGTTTGGCTTTTACTTGAGCGTCCCCTACGGTTGAGCCGTTCATTTCGCAGCTTGTCCAGCTCTTGAACAAGTATCTCGTCGGGAACATCGGCCATTGCGAGGGTCCACCGGCGCATGGCCATTGGATCATTGTGCATAGAACTCGCATCGCGTGGAGCGCGCTGCTGAGCGCGAGGCAGAGGTGAACTAGGATGTCGCGACTCCGGTAGTACGACAATTTTCGCCGAATTAACGGATACTTGCGTAGGGATAGACGTAACATTAGACGTGACATTGCTCTCGCGCGCCGGCGCCACCCTTCTTCGCATAGTCGACAATGTGGTGCTCATCGCATGCCCAAGAAGGCTGCTGTTCCCATTCAAATCTTCCTTGTGACCATCGACGACATCTCCCACGGTGTTTATATGCGTTGAATTCGGATTCCCACCACTTGCATACAAGCTTTCGCCGTATGGATCGAAAGCACCTGGGTCGATTTCCAAGTCCTGTTCAGCCAGCTGAGCTGCACGCTCGGGGGAATGCTTTTGGATGTTAAGACGCGACGTGAGAGCAGCAAGCTCAGAAGATGACATCCCAGTCCACGCAAGTTGTGCGAGTGCATTCGTGGAAGTAGGTTTTTTGCGCTCAGATAGAAGACTTGATGAGAAGATCGAATGTGGTGGCTGCCCGAGCTCTCGCGGCTGTCGGTGCAGGAGAATACGAGGCAGAGCAAAGGCGTATAAGAAGATGGTTATGAGTGCCCTCATGTGTCGTTCGAGAATGATAAGCACGTACGATGTCCAATGAGAAGGGTGCCACAGGATCCATAGGCGGGAGAAAATCCCGTCGCTTAGGGCCAGGAGGCTCCACATGAACCTTGGACTTTCTCCATGCCGAAGGACCAGAGCTGGCTGGGGTAACGGATGCGCACTGCGCAGTCATGGAAGGACGCCTCTTTTTGAGCTTGCGTGCCGTAACGCCGGTGCGTGTACCACTAGGATGCTGCGCACTCGGAGGTCCTGATTCCTGCTCCGAAAGCTCGGAAGGATTTCCTTTCAGGAAACCTTTAGCAGGTGACAAGATTGGAGAGGCATGATCGGGAGTTGTGGCTGGTGTGGAATGTGAAGACGACGATAGAGACGACAGGCAGGCAGAATTGGAAGTCGAACTGGAATGCGAGGTAGCGCTTCCATTGCTACTCCCATGCGAGCGCACCGGCGGCCGGCTCGTTTTTGCTGTGCACCTCACTTTGGGCTCCTCCACGTTAGCGCTGCAGAAGGAACGCAAGAAACTGCTGCTGCTAGTACGACGATGTGGATGTGGAGACTCCCCTGTAAGGCTGGTGGTTCGCAAGCTGAGAGCGCGCCATATGCTATAACCCAAGCCAGAAGTCAAGTTGGAAGGACTGGTGTCAGGAGACGATGTAGTCATGCTAGCACGAGGCATAGCCTTCTTCAGCTTCCTCCTGCTGAAATGTGATGGGTTGGGTGATGAGACGGCTGAAAGAGACGACGATTGCAAATTGTCCATAGGGAACGAATTGCGGTAGATGGGAACACTGGCTTTATCTGCCCACGAGAGTCGGGAGGGATGGTCGTAGGATGTGAGGGTATGGCCGGATAACGACTGGGTCTTGAAAGGCTGTCTTTGCGGCGTGCGGTCCGAATGAGATATGAACAAGTGGCCAGGCTCGGAGACAGTATTGTCGAAAGCGGGCCGTTCATTTGCGTGATCTGCACGGCATTGATAGTCGTACGATGCGTCTGAGGGAGTGACAATAGATACAGACTTTGACTTGGGCATGTGGCGAAGTTCTGACTTGGGTGGAAGAGGTGGGGGCATACCGAGGACTGGGGGTGGGTCTCGAGTCAGTGCATCCGCAAGATCGTTGTATCTAGACTGCCTCTGAGCGTCAGTCTCCTTCAGAGGTTGAATGCACGATGTCTGCAACACCGGGGGATCCACATCTGCGACGCGAAAATCAGCCGCTATGGAACCGAAAGTATACACAACAACATACGCGTTCTATGCAGCGATGCTGTGGGGATTGCAAAGTGGCCTGGGTCTGAAAACGAGGCTGGACCCTCGTCATTAATGTGAGCGTAATCCCGCCCCGTATTGTCGCTTTCGGCGAAATGCGACGGTGATATAATGCACAGTCCAGCCGCAGGCGATCCGACAACAACACTGCGTGGGTGGTTTGAGGTAGGATTCCTGGCGTGCTGGAGGCGGGGAGCTGGAAAGTTGGTACCAGAGGAGCGTTGCTCGGCTGCACTAGCATACTCGGTGGCAGCTGTCTCGGAAACGCCATCCTTCCGATAGGTGGGCCTCCTTGTTGCCGTCGCCGTCATTTGTGACGACGCCAGAGCTGGCCGGCCAGCTCGTGGATTCTGGACAGGTCGGGAGGCCGCCTGGGAGAGGACAGAGGCCATGCAGAAAGAATGCGACGCGAAAGGCGTCTGGCAGTCGCGCCGGGTGTGCCTCCGGTTTATACAGCCACACGCGCATCAGTCCTGACGTCATCATGCCTTTCCACGCCCGGCTTAACACTCAAATCTTCCCAGCTCGACGATCCTTGCCTGCTCGTGTCATGGCCTCCATTCCTTCCACACTCCTATGCGTGTATCCTCTCTTAACCACGCCGAGTGAGTGGCGGTATTTACAAGCCTGTGACAGAGCCGACCGGCGCTAAGCCAGCAGGCGCAGTGTTCCTATGATGCCACTCATGATGGCTTTGCTTGTACACCCTAACTCCTCTCTTCCTGTGTCTCCACACACACACGTCGATTTTACCCGTTTGGCCTCTGTCATCGTGCATGGATCTCCGTCAGCGACACCACCTTGGCGACGTGATAGATCTATCGTCATCATCATCCCCACTGGGTCCACATGTGAATCCTAGTCAATCTAGACCTTTGATGGTCATCCAGAGGTGTGGCGAGGCATGTTGGCATATTAGGTGCAAAGAATCAGCATTGGAGTACTGAGTTTCCAGGTTATCATACAACACTTCGGATAAGGTCTTGAGTCATGCCAGTGACACGAACACATGAACTTGTCTTTGCAATCAGAAAAAATAGAACCTCAAGTCAAGACAAGCTCACCTCATGTCCCTACCACTTTCAAAGCCATAACAACATCCCGGCCACATAACTCCGTCTTGAGATGTTGCAAGATAGGGAGCTGTGCAATCCGATGCGCCGATTAACTCACACGCTATCATCGCTTTCACCGCAAAGTTTACCTTCTCGGAGAGCAAGTTGGGCCCATAACCGACACCCTCGTTTCCCACTAGCGTGGGTGCTACTGTAACTATAACCATGTTGACACAATTGGGAAAGGTTCTCAACTCGCTTGACCTTTCGCTTGCAGCTAAGAATGTTTGGATAACACGCGCCCCGCCCTCGACCATGAGAGAACGAACGCCGAGACTACGGAGCGTTTCGAGCAGAGACGGGATGGAGACCAAGCCTTCCGAGAGGAAACATGTGAGCAATGCACATGGTTTTAGCCTGCTTGCGCACCATCGACACCAAGAACCTTGATGACTTTCGCACCTGCGTCCTCTAGGATTCTCTCTCTGTGAAAAAGTATAGGATCTGCCATCGAAGACTCAATCGAAAAGACCCAGGGTCTTCGGCCAGTCCCTTCCCGGAAGTTCTTAAGCAGCTTGCTATCTGGCGAGAGACGTAAATGTGTGTCTAGAATGATTGGTCTAGGACAGTGATAGCGGTGCGGTGCATCGTCCGAGAAAGGCGGAAGATGGCGCGCTGCGTTTCGTCAAATTGTGAAGAGAAAATGCAAGCATAGGCACGCATGCGACGCACTATTCAGCTGAGGATCATCATTTAGAGCGGTCCCGATTCCGACGAGGATGGCATCGTGCATGGTTCTCATCCTAACCTTTCGGCAGAACGCGCCGCATGAGTTTTCGCATACGAAAGTAGGACTGATGTTGACCCACCAATGCGTCATGACCAGAGACTCTTTGCCACTGAGAGCCAGTTGCTTCCCGCCAATGCCTGCAATTTTGGCGTCCAACGATTGTGCGAATGTCAAGGTAACGTATGGGCGTGCATCATCCGTTGAGGCAGGTGTAGGTGTACGGGCGGATTCAGTATATAGTGAGACAGGATTCGCTGGGTCCGAATGGACCTGATACACCTGGGTCAAGAAAAGAGGTGCGGCTGGAATTTCACTAGCCATCGTGAGGAGTCTCGATCCTGGGCTCGATCTATCCGTGTTCGGGCGAGTTGTAGGCGAAAATCAAGAACGACTTTTGATTTTGGAGTTGGCAATCAAGCGGATAATTACGTAACCAACTCCATCCCCGCCGCTCGCTGCGCTTCAAGTCACTCGGACTCGTCTCAGCACTTCGCAGTTCCTGTCATGATCTCCGTTCCAAACGAGAAGGAAATCCCGCAGGACGATCCGGCAGTCGACGATGACCATGAGGAGCCCGAAGAGGACGATGTAGCCGACGCTCTTGCGGCTGGCGGTATGCGAGTTTTTACGGTTCTACGACGGTCGCAGCGTACTGATGCAGAAATTTCCGGGTGCATAGGTGACAGCAAAAAGAAGAAGAAGAAGAAGAAACCCAAGAAGAAGAAAGTCGAGCAGACTGAGCCGCCGCGAGTGGCGTTGTCCAAAATATTTCCCAGTGGGAACTACCCGGAAGGTGAACTGCAAGAATATAAAAACGAGTGCGCATCTCCGTGCAACCTACTGATGTCCATGTTCATTCATAACACTGTAGTAACTCATGGCGAACGTCTTCCAAGGAAATGCGGCTCAAAGAACAGATGGAGATGGAGGATCCCGAGACGACGTACAATCATATCCGCAAGGGCGCGGAAGTTCATCGACAAGTGCGGAAGTTTGCCAGGAAATATATCAAGCCAGGAATGAGTCTCACAGAGATCGCGGAGGTGATTGAAGACGGTACCCGAGCGCTAGTTGAGGCAAACGGGTTCGAGGCTGGTGTCGGCTTCCCTACGGGCCTGAACTTGAATCACTGCGCCGCGCATTTCTCTCCAAACGCGGGGGACACTGTCGGTATGTGATGCCGTGATGTATATGATAGCGCTTGGTTGTAGCTGATGCTGTCCATAGTATTGCAGCACGGTGATGTAATGAAGGTCGACTTTGGCGTGCACGTCAAGGGTCGTATCCTTGACTCTGCGTTCACTCTTGCGTTTGGTAACGAGTATGACAAACTGCTGGAGGCAGTAAAAGCTGCAACAGATACAGGTATAAGGGTACGCTCGTCCCGGATCGCAGGTTTTAAACCCAATTTATGCCTTCTTCTAGGAAGCTGGTATAGATGTCCGGCTCGGAGAGCTCGGCGGGTATATACAGGAGACAATGGAATCGTATGAAGTTGAGGTCAACGGCAAGGTGTATCCTGGTCAGTCTTCCCCTTGTGTGCGTCAAACTCGGCTAACTATTTGCTGCCAGTTAAAGCAATCGCGAACTTGAGCGGTCATTCCATTCTTCCTTATCAGATACATGGCTCTAAAGCAGTGCCCCTTGTAAGAACGGAAGACCAGACGAAGATGGAAGAAGGGGAATATTTCGCGATCGAGACTTTCGGGTCGACAGGACGCGGTAGAGTAGTTGAGAGCGTAAGAGGCTGTTGATGTTGTGAGAGAAGTCCAACTGACGGAGAATTTTAGGGTGATTGTTCGCACTATGCTCGAGTTCCTGAGCCACCACGCGTCCCTTTACGGTAAGCTCGGGCGCAGGTCTCCGGACCGAAATCGACGGTAATTAATGCACTCATTCAGACTGACTTCCGCAAAATCTTTGCTGAACACAATCAACAAGAACTTCGGGACAATACCGTTCTGCCGTAGGTACTTGGACCGTATTGGAGAAAGCAAATACCTACTGGCCGTAAGCTCGTCGAGCCCGCCTTCAATGCGATCGCGCTGACACATCTTCCCAGTTGAATCACCTCGTAGCACAAGGGATCGTGAACGATTATCCGCCCCTATGTGATGCACCAGGATCTATGACAGCTCAATTTGTGCGTCTGCATTATATGTAGATCTCCGCCGTCTTCGGCTAACATCAGTACGCAGGAACATACGATTCTATTACGTCCAACACGCAAGGAGGTGGTCAGCCGGGGAGACGACTTTTGACGTGTACCGAACAGCATATCAGCATATTCTATGTTACTGTATCTGTACATTCTCCGTCATGGATTGAAGGTGGATTGCGTTTAGGCTGGTTGTCTCGGCCTGAGGTAGATAGACGCTCTGAGGTGGAGAGCCATGTGATTACGGAGCTGTATGGGAATCATTGGGGTATGGCAGTTACGCTCACCAGTGCTGCTCAGGAATGCATGCAACCTGCTAAGAACGTCTTTCTCTCTCGCTCCACCGCCTTCATGTTTTACATCTTCTCCTGGCCCTGTATATTACCTCTACTCAAGATTGTTTTATAAATCAGCTACTTTTCGCCCCTCCCGCCCTCACGGATCCGCGAAACGTCCTCCGTATAGACTTACGAGCACGGCACGAACGCGGAATGACTTGGCCTTTTTCTCTGTTTTGGTCCGGTGACGAGGGGCCAGGTCTGAGTACTTCCAAACGGACATCGACCCGAGCCAAAAACATCACCTCTCCGCCCGCGCATCTCTTGGTGCACTTTGGTGGCCCTGGCGGCCCTCTTCCGCCATCCGCCCGCGTGGGTGACCCCACGCTCAAGCAACGCCAGCCGAACCCCTTGAATTTATGGCAGCTGGGAAGGCTGGGGGCTTTTGCAGCAATGAAAGGTGCGTCGCGTGCCGGCACTGCGGCCTTTTTGTGACTTTCAGCTTCGTCGTACTGACGAGCGAGTGCTTGACAGCCTCAGTTTTGATCTTGGACCTTATTTCCCACCATTTATGGGGACCTCGCCGGAAGTCGTGGGGCGTTGAAATGACCCTGCTATCAAGCATCATGCGTGATGTTGGTCGGCATTCCCACTTGGGTGATATGGTGAGTTTTTCGCCCAGTCCTTACGTGTGAGGTATTCAGAAAGTATTATATGTCAGGCCCTTATTCGAATGCTCATGGGCATCGGAGGATATCTGCCATTGCCATCTGATGCCCTTGTAACGCCAGTCACATTTCGTGTGCGGAGGCGCAAGCTCCGAGGTATCCTTGCTGAATTTGATGCAGTGGAGGATGGCGCGCGTGAACTTTCCGGAGAATGGGTTGTTGGAAAGAGAACGTGGCAGAGATTACAAAGAGAATGGAGAGCAACGAGAGCTAATTCAAGAGACAGAGATACATCCTCCTCAAGACCGACGTCACAGTTACCGAAGAATCAGTCTCGTAAAATGGAGAGAGTAGTACTTTATCTGCATGGTGGTTAGTGGTCTGTGATTTTCCGCTTATTTACCTCATCACTCGTATTTCAGGCGCATATTATGTCTCCAGTGCTGCATCACACAGGTTAATCACAATCCCTCTTGCTAAACACTTGGATTCTCGTCTTTTCGGTGAGTTAATATAGATTGTCAGCTATTTCGCACATCATTGACATTTGTCTAGCAATCGATTACCGTCTAGCTCCCGAGACTCGATTTCCTGGACCCTTGCATGATGTCGTATCTGCCTACTTTCGGTTAGTCGATGATCTGCACATTCCGCCAGAAAATATTATTGTCGCAGGAGATAGTGCTGGCGGTGGATTATCGCTGGCATTGCTCTTATACTTACGTGACAATCAGTATCCGCTGCCAGCGGCAGCAATCTTGATGTCACCTTGGGTTGGTACGTTGAATCTTTTGGATTTTATTGTAATTGGAGTTTGACACGATAAGTAGACTTGACAATGAGCTGTGACACCTGGGATAGCAATGCTGAATTCGACATCGTTCCAAGACCCATTCCAGGAGATCATCTAAACCCTATTGCATGCTATCTTGGAGATAATATGAACCAGTACCTCACTCATCCATACGCTAGTCCTCTTTTTGGAAATTTGGAGGGGTTTCCTCCTCTGTTGATACAGGGAGGAGAATGTGAAGTGCTCAGGGATGAGATAACATTACTAGCACACAAAGCAACCCTTGCCAGCGTGGAGGTCCGCCATGAGTTATACGAAGATTGCGTATGTTCTCATATTTTCTCGCCGTAGCTTGCATTTAGACTGGGTTGGCAGGTACACGTCTTCCAATCTCTGCCATTTCTGGAAGCTGCGCGAAGTGCCTTTGCTTCAAGTCGGGACTTCGTGCACAATTTCCTGCCTCGATGGGAGAGTCGTTCTCCGAAAGGACTTCAGTACTCAACGGAAAAGAGCCTGGAGAAAGAGATCGACAGCGATGCTGCACGAATTGTGCGTGGGGACGGTCAAGAATCACATTCGCGCCAGGATTTCGAGGCAGTCTTAGACGGGCGTCACGTTGAAGAGCGAGAGAAGTCACATGCTCGTAAGAAAGAGGAATCGCCACCCGTTTTCGGCGAAGAAGAGGAACCTAGTTGGGTATCGCAGTGGCCTACTCCACCAGAAACTGACGAAGAAGTCGACGGAGCCTCGATTGTTGAGGCAGAGAAGTCGGTTCAGTCCCAAGCTGGTGAAGCTATTCGAACCAAGCATCCGCCTCCAATGCTGCGACTACGGTCAACTGTTTCTCTAATCGCGGATGCTTCCTATCGTTCTGCATCGGGGTACTTTGAAACTGCCTCCATGCATCAGCTGCTTTCTCCTCCAGGTGAGGAGTCGTTGACAGCGCCGATCTCCAGACAACAATTCCGTGGTTCTACGCTGAGCATCTCATCCTACGCCTCTGCGCCCAAACCATCTATTCGTCGTTCCGATCGTAGTCACCCGGATATTCGCTCGCTCGTTCAAGAGTACGCCAAAAGTGGACCAGCCCACCACACGTTGACGTTCAAACCCGAGGACTCACCCAGATGCGGGCGGTCCAGGACCGCATCGATAACAAATTGAAGCAGATTGTACATACCCTATTGTAATCATGTCCGTGTAGCAGTTCTGTACGAAACAATGAATGCATACTCTACCATAGGTACTCATCTACTAAGTAACAGCCTGTAGCTTTAATGTCCGTTCTATCACTTCCATCCAAAATAGCAAGCACGAAAATTTATCACAGATAATGATGGTGACAATAGATTACTGTCTCCGCTCCTGCTGCCCTTGTAAACTGTCTCGGTAGATCTCTAATTCCTCGATAACGTTCGTGAGAGCATTCACCTCCCAACGCCCATATACGAACCCTACGTATAAGAAGGTTGTCGCCAGCCAGGCCAAAAAAATCGTTAATAAAATGATGACAGGATTAATCCACGAGCGAGGAAGCCAGGCAGAACCAACGAGAATGACGAGTAGGAGAAGGATACAGACAGCAAAGACCGTCAATTGTGAACGTGCGCGGTAGAGAGAAAATCGGTAGCAGGCCATAAGCGATTGGAGAATCTGAGTGATACTGTCAGGGGAGAGATGCTGAGGTGGTTTTGATGCCGGATTCGGAACCGAAGCTAGCACGAAACCCGGACTACGCGGTTCAGCGGGGGCTGATATGTACGTGATCGAAGGGTCTGCCACTACACTGTCCTCGGGAAGGGAAATATTGAACGTCGCTTCTAAGCCGAAGTGATCTGAGAATGAGAATTCTCTTCCAGCAACACGATCAGTGAAGACGACTTTGGTCTCAGTACACTGAAGTGTCGGTGTCTTGTTACTGGCGGGCGGACTGCTGGGCTGGCGGAAGAATATGTAGTCTAAACGCTTTCCATGAAACTTGCGCGCAATTGACTCCAGAGGCTTGCCGGCCGAGAACGAGTTGAGGGGAGAGTCCGCAGTCACACCAAGCAAATGTACAGCATCGAGGGGAGACGGGAGGCCGGCTGATGGGGGTGGGTCGGCGTGTGACGCAACCCATGCATCCGTGAGAGAAGCATGATCCCGTATTATGGTCATCGCTAGAGAAGACGGGATGGCGTTGAAGTCGCCTGCCGCAATAACATAACGGCCCATATCAGCGGCCTGTCTTGCAAGTTTGGAGAGTTCCCATGCATTGACTAGGCGGTGAGCCTGGAGATGGCTAGGCCCCGAATCTCCGCCAGGTGCGAAGAGCTAAGGCACATACTATCAGCGATATATCGAGTCTGACACAAATAATCGCACATGAGTATTAAAGACCTGGAGTTGTCCCAAAACAGGATGGGCAACGACAACACTTGCAGCCGCCTTTCCGACGAACCAGTCTCCTTGAATGACTTCTATGGGAGACCCGTTCAAAGAATAAGGGTTTATGGTAGCACCAACGATGGGGAAACGCGAGAAAATGGCGAGTCCTGCTCCAAGAGCACCACTATCGCTACGTCAGTCGAGCATATAGGAATATAGTGCGACGAACATACCTATAAAAGAACTTTGAATATGCTAGTCTCTTGGAGACTGCTGCGCGAACGTGTTCATAGTCTCTATAGACCCAGATTTCTTGCAAAGTGACTATGTCGTAATCGGAGGTAGCTAGGACACCCGCAATAGCAGCGATGCGCTCGTCTCTATGCTTCGATACATACTTTAAGCCCCTGTAAAATACTTCAAGCTCCCTGCTAACTGAGTCGACTGTGGAGCTCACCAACAGTTGAGAGTCAAGACGCGAAGACGACTGTCCGACATGCCCGTTCAGCCAAACTCAGAACGACAAAGAATACAGCCGATTTTTTTTTCCAGATTGCTGTGGACAAACAGGAAAGTTATACAAAAAGCAGTGCAATTCTAGTGACAGTGTCGCACTTCGAAGTCGGTTGAAGTATTGCAGGGCCGTCGCCAGTGTTAAGTAGGTGGGTGGTGGCTATCCCTCCCAGTCGCTAGGCGGCAGGCCCGAAGCTGCCGGCTGGTGGCACGGTTACACGTGATGTCCACAAGTACTAAGCACCGTGGGCAATTGACGAAGTTCGGCGTCGTTGAACATGCGTCGGAAACTGGCCGCGAGAGATTGCATTTTCCTGCAATGTTCGAAGAGCAATCACTCGGCAGGACTTTACATGCAAAGAACATGGGAAGCGGGCCAATCAGAGGCTAGCGATCTGCTATGTTCGGTGCCCGAATGTGATACCTCATGCTCGAGCCCAGAAAATCGAGTGGAAATGCGATCTCTTTTGGTGCATGTTCGGCACATGCGGGACGGCCAGACACCGCGTTTTGCCCACGGTGAAGCATTAGTGCCAGTAACTGCCAGTACTTAAAGTAATACAGCACGGTGGCTGAGTGCGCGACTCGGATGCGTTATCAGTCCGGCATTGCATCCATATTGCGGCCTCAGACCGTTCGTACTATCGTCATCCACTTGCTTTGAAAATCAAGGCATGTTCGGCAACACAGAAGCCCGTCTTAGGGATCATATACATAATATCTTGTCGAATTACTCGCGCATGCACCTATCAACCAACTATATTACATGGACGGACGATGCGGTTGAAGAAGTAAGTCATGGCGTTTAGTCGATGATATACTGACGATTTCTGTCCTAGCTGCTCACAGGAAGCCTCATCCTTGTATCCAGCATTGACTTTACCGATCCATTACTGCCAACCGATCCTTTTGACTCGCTAATGCGCAGTTGGGACGTAGCTTCCATTCCCTACCTTAACGAAGCGTGGTCGACTGAAGAAGGAGCAGTGCAGCATTTGAGGGAGATTGTGAAGAGTCTGAAACCAAAGCTTTCAGAGCGTCCCTCCGTGACGTGCTGGAAGGATGAAACAGATGGTATGTTCACCCATTTGAGAGTGTGAACATATCTACGTAGGAACTCATTACCACGAAGTGGGATTTGAAAGCTGGTGTTTACGTCGACCAGTATCACCCATTCTCACTACGTGTGCAATCCGCCGAACACCTGTACTTGGAGGACAGACTTACGTGAAAAAATTACCCGGATGTACGCGCGACATCCTCAAGATTCATGAGCTTCAGTCTGCGCCAGAGGAAGTCGAGGCTCAAGATTTTACGACAAATCTTCACGAAGCGATGTGACTTAATGCATATAGTTCCTTAATTTACCGAGATAACTGACATGTCATCTTTAGGGACTTGAAGCTGCCAATAGACGCATCGATGCACACACAAGTTTCAAGACTCAGCCAATCTGTGATCGCTCTCTATCGACCAGTGGCAACTCCATGCCCTGAGGCTCGATATCATGAATTTTTGCGAGCGGACTCACCTCTAGCAGAACTTGTACGGTTGGATTCGCCACCCTTGTTTCCTAAGGATAGACACCCAGGCCGACAGTCATCTTCTGATGTAGTCTTGCGTGAATGCGTTTCCACTCTTTCTTCCCTCTCGGATTTGCCATCACTTATACCCGAAGTGGATTTGAGAGAGGAAGACGAAGAGGAAGAGCTGTATAGGGAGCATATGATTGTAGTGGATGGGTGGCGTGAGTTCCAATTTACTATTCAACATTGTTGGTCTGAAAGGCTTCAAGATGCGTTTACGTGTCCGTCTTCTCCACCCTCCGACAAGACACCCTCCCTGGGCAATAGCTCTAGTGAAGTTGATGAGCTGTTTTTACCATCGCCTCCAGACAACCATAAACCTCTTGTACAAGCTCTCATGTCCGCGAAAATGAGTAAGCTGCAGCTAACGTCTGTTGTTCACCCCTGCATGTATTGATAGTGCCTTAGATGATTACGAACTGCCCAGATCTGTAATGCCGCACCACGCGTACCCAACGCCGAGGGCATTGGGGGAAGGACAAAGGTTGGGAATTTACTTGAGCTAGTTCGACTGACATCCTAACAATATCACATCCATCCCAGTTTCCATTCCTTCTTATCTCCTCTTCTGGCTGGTGTGCAGCAGGCTGAAGTTAACACTGCGACCTCTCCGAAGACCCACCCCTCTTCACCCGTAACGCTGATCGGTGAATCCATATCAGGACAGCCTCCGTCGGATGTCGGTGGCGCTGGAGTTATTCCCAGCGCTAGTAGCTATGTGCTCGATGCTACTAGCTCGGATTGGGACCTCGATACGATCATGGAAAAGGTTTGTGGAAAGCTGTTAGGCGATGAAGAATTTGAAGACTTCATATTACGAGAGAAGCTAGATGAACGATATTGTTTGTTAATGGATTGTACGTGCATACATTTGCTCTTCTCGCAGGGGTTCTGAAGTAGGAGTCCCTCTTCAAATTCAGTACCTGTGATGCGGCCTCCAAATGAACATCCGTCAAGTAAAATGTTTCTACCAAGTCGCCTCGGCGATTTAGTTACGCTTTCTTGTACATCCATTGGTTCATGTGACACACCAGCGGAGTCGCTAGATGGAAATACATTGGTCAAAAAAGGTTACTTCAGGAAAGTCAAGGGATTGCAACTGTTAAATCTGGAACTATCTTGGAGGTAGGAAGCTCATCTTTGGAATACTGTCATACAATTCCCATTTTTTATTGCTGAACAGGCCTTTCAAATATGGCCCCACAATACCGACCGACGAGGAATTAGTTGGCCTTGGAGAAAGTCTTCCCAGTGTACTTGCCCAAGACCTCTGCATCAATGATGCAGTCTTCGCTTCGAAAACATCGGACTTGCTTAAGGGGATTGAACATTCCCATGTAGATGCGAAGGGAATGTCACTGGAACCCTCTTTACGCCACCATTGTTATGACTTCTTGCCGCCGATTGACTTCCCGAAATCGGCGTTCAACGACGACGGACAAGATATGGTATGGACCAGAGAAGATCGCAGAAGGATGCTTGGATTTTCAACATACGACGAAGAGGTCATTTGTTCTGGTGACGAAGGAAATGAAGAGTTGGACGGATGCCAAAGTGATACCTTCATTCTATCCACAGGTCGCTCATTCAAACGCGCTAGACATGGGATTACCGAGAATAACGACATCGACCGAGGGGTTGAGCTCTCCTCGACCGAAGACTCAGGTGTATATATGAACTCGCCGCAGATGGACCTGCAAAGACGTACAAGTAACTTTACACAGCTTGCCTTCGGTTCTGAAGGGTTTGAAGGGCCCAACGAAGACGGCGACTTGTTCTACGATATTGATCCTATGCATCAGCTAGATTTCATGTCCAATTCCCCTGACAGGTGGTCTCATCATCGAACTATGCAAGCTGATAATCTACCTCACCACGATGATTTTCGAGATGGCTGCGAATGTTTGCCTTGGACTGACAGAAACCCGGATGATACTGATGCTGTTTTGGCGTATCCTGTCTATTCAAGTTTGCTTCAGGGTGGTAGTGGACAACCCGAAGTTATCATGGCTCAATCAATGTTACTTCGCGAATCTCCTGTGGACTCTGAGTCTTCCAAAGGTGATGCCTCTGCAAATGGACCTGCATCGCAGGATATGCCTCTTTCTCAAAGGACTTCAGTTGTCACTTCTGGTAGACAAGCTCCTTCAGGTCAAAAAGCTGCTCAGTTACTGGACGACTTCCTAAGGCTTGTGGGTCAAAAGAGCTCCTCTGCTAGCACGTCATTGACTTATCAAACGACTCCGCCGTCTCCACATTGTATATTTCCAGCTCTGGTGAATGTAGAACAAGCTGCACCTGTTTTACCTTCATTTGTACCTCTGGAACTTCCAGATGAGCTACGAGACGCTAATACTCTACAAATTCTGGATCTCGTTGCTTCTCCACATCGTGTGCATCGCTATATGGCCTCGCTCGATGTGATTCAAAAGCGGATTCTTGTGCGATTTTTGTCTTCTGAGACCTGCTCTGTGGATCTTATTGAACGCGACTACCTTGGTGGCGTGCACCTTATTCTGGACGCTGATGTAGCTGTACTATTCGTGCCTCTGGCTTCATTCCCGTCACAGCCTGATCATTTGACCACCACTCTATGTCAAGCCTCGAGGCAATTTACATATGTCCTAGTCATCTTCGAAGCTTATCCAGAATCACTATCGTATAAAATTGATGCAGGTCCTCCTAGACCTCAGCCATATCCGTTTTCTCCCGCCGTCATAAAGGCAGTCAAGAAGCTGCGACGCGATTTGGGGATTGCCGAAGCTTTTCAGACGAAGGATGCGGCCGCCGTGATCCAGTTTGCATTTGCGACTTCTGTACAAGAAGCGGCCTTGTTGACTCGATATTTTGGGGACCTTGCGGAAGCTAGAGACAATTCTGGAGGTATTCTCTGGGGAAAGCGTCAATGGCTCGGCATTGACGAACAAGAGGTTTGTGCATAATCATGAATCCAGACGAGGCTTGCATATTTGATGCAACACAGGGTGAATGTGACCTTGCCGCTGTGGACGGTATGAATCACTTTACCGCTTCCGTTGTGCTCTCCCAAATGAGCTTAGACGACTTTTTGGACGAAACGCCTGAAGAACGGACGCAAAATTTTGCTGTTTTGATTGGTCCAAATAGGATAGTGAGTCGGGACCGAAGCCATTAGTCAATTCACTGATCGCATTTACTCCAGATGCGGTTCAATAAAGAGCTTGCAAGACGTGCCAAGGCGGCGCGAATTTAATCCTCTTCGTCGCTATCTATGCGGATCCGAGTCTACGAAGAGCTGTAGAAAGTCTTCTGCGGATACATACTGATGGTTGTCCCTTTTCCATATACTTATACATTCATACTGATCCTTCTGAACTACCCTGCTGTCAATTACTCGATCCGCAATTCCCATAGTTCATCACTCCTTTCGTTGGATGACAACAGTCCGCCCTGCATAACGATACGAGATTCGCCATTTTCTGCCCATTCGTCACTTGCAATCCATCCTCTACTTTCCGGTAGGTTTCCTTCACCGCTCCTCTCTGCGACATCTACCTTTTTCCAAGCCCAACCTCGTGTGCTGTCTACCGCCTTGTCCTTAGTAAGCAACCATATATCATCCCAGAACGTTCCCGCTCCCGCGTGTCCCAAGCTGCTGGCATCTCGTTCTCCGTGGAAGAGCAGAGCTACTGCATTCGAGAGCGCGGGGGACCTCGAGCGGAAGCGGCTGAAACCATGAACAGAACGAGATGCCGGAGAGCCGTGGACCACATCTGCTTCTGGTTGAACGACAGTCCATTTATCCTCATTTACGAAGTAAATATCGAGAACGCCTGGTGTTGAGGGTAGTTCATAGCCGCTGAAACCTGAGGTGTGCCATCCATGTAAGAACAATGATTCGGTTGAAGATGTGGGCTTGTCACTGACCTCCGAATCTAAGCAGAATAGGAGCAGAAGCTTCGAGGGAAGCAGCGACAAGGGAGGTACCTCCTCGAGCTGGGTCTGGAGCAGTAGCAAGACTCTGCCATCTACACTGGTCTATGTTAAACGCATGTAAAGTACCCAGTCTTCCCGAAGTAGGGCACCCTGCATGGACGTAAATTCTCCCCTTGGAAGGATGTCAGCTCAGACGAGCCTCTGGGTCCATTCTTACAAACGTACCCCTTGCGCAATACTCGCATGATAACTTCGTGGTTCTGGACCTTCTTCTGGATTCACGGCCTTTATTCTCTTCCATGTTATGCCACTAGGGTCTCCTTCATCAAATACCGCTTTCCACATTCCAATCTCTTCAGGACCAAGTGGTGCCATGTCAACACCTCCCCGTCCACCCCACATATATAGACTGCCACCATCAACTACCATTGTCGCGCCTACTCTGGGTTCTGGGACCTCACTCAGTTGCTGAGCAGTTCTTATTGGACTAAGCGTCTTCCATCCGCTCGACTTGTCCGCTGCGTTTTCCTGGCGCAGGTCAAATATATGCATGGAGCCCTTCAGTGTGTCATCGATGGGAGTACGGGGCTTCAGTTCACCCCCATAGACAGCCACGACGCCGGACTTTGTCACAGACACGCAGTGAGATGAACGAGCGATCCACGCTGCCTTCGAGCGCAGGTACCAGTGAGCGAGAGGCATAGTGTGAGTTTGGTGTGAATGACGGGCTCATGCGCATGCAACCCCTTTGGATTGATTATCCTGAACATTTAAACACTCCAATTCTCCTTAGCGTTCTCAACAACAGTGTGCTGCCTAAAGTATGAGGCCAAATCGCGATTTGATCATTCCCACTTCCTATGACGTGAGCAGCCATGACCACCAATAGCAACCTGCATATTCACCGTCGCCAGCCGTCCCGGACTGGTTAAGTTTTGCTTACATACTTGCGCCCCAAAAGGACAATACCATAATATTACGGCCGATACAACATGTTATTACAGGTACTACCTTCCAGTAAGGCGAATCTCCAGCCATCGTAGTGGCGGAAACATGAACGCCGAAAATGCAGCGGCAAGCTGGGAAGGTGGAGTCAGGGATAACCGGGCGCATAGAGCGTCCGTAGCGCACCTCAAACCCAAGATCCGCACCGTAGCCATCGGCACCTGCATCCATTCCAAGAGGTCCTGTATACCACACCTAACAGGTCCGAGTCAGCAAAACGCAAAATCCTAAAGCATATTTCAACGTGCCTGGGACATTCCCACAACGGCTCCTGCAACACCAAAACATCCTGCCAGTACACCGGCACAGCCAAGAGGGAGCCTAGTAAGTCATTTAGTGAAAACGGCCAAACATGCTAAATGGTGTTATGCAACGCACCGGCTTGGGGTATCATAATCATCAAGGTTATATCCACCCAACGGACCATTCTTTCGCCTGAAGATGAAATGTTCCTCCGCTACAATGACGATGAAGAATGCGGTCCAGTAGCTCAGAATACTTAGGAAATTTGACAAGATAGCGGAGAAATGCTCGCGGCCAGCGACACCCGCCACGGTATAAGCGACGAATGCGAGGAATACCCATAGGAACCGAGGCACCATTGCAAACGGTCGTCCAAGCGCTTGCACTGAGATACCCGCAGAATAGGTGTTCGGGATATTGTTGGCACTGAAGCGGAAGATGGTCAACGCCGCTGCCAAGCTCAGTGCGAGCGTGTAACTCACACGACAGAGAATGCAAGCAAGACGAGAACGAATTTTCCTCCACCTTTCCATGGGGAAACAACTTGGCTCAACAGAGCTCCAGTGTCGCCAGAGGCAATTACCTCGGCATATGCAGGGTCACTGATGGTCATGAGTGCAGCACCCAGGATTTCCACGAAGCAGATCGGGATGAACAGCCCGAAAAAGGTGAGGAAAAAGACCTTGATGCTAGAGGTGTTCGCTGGAAGCCTACAGTTGTAGTCCGCTGCGACGGGTGCCCACTATCGGAATCATCAGCACAATATTCTGGTGGACAAGACGAAAGTACCACACCCCAGTAAATGAACCAAATATGATGCCGCCGAAAGAGAGAACATCCCCAGAGAGCGACCTGCCTGTGGCTTCCAAAGGCTTTTGTATGTCCATGTCGAAGCCTGCGCGACCACCAAGGCCCCAAAGGAACAGCATCACCAAGACCATGACTATCCACGCATACCGCTCGTAAATGTGCACCATCTCGTACCCAATGAAACAAGGTACAAGACTGCATATCGCGATGATGATGATACCCACCACGAGCGGGAGTGTGCCCGGGTTGATTGAAGCGAGTGTTTGACCGCCGAGGATCACCGCAGTAACGGAGAATCCCAGCCTGTTGAAGGCGGCGGTCAAAGTATAGTCCATTGGAGGTGCCTGCGGAGAGCGCATGCAATGCAACTTACTGCGTCAAGACGTTGAGCACGGAGTATATGGTCCCACCGATATAGCCGGAACTATATCGTGTGATAATCATCGTCCGCAAGCCAGTCTTCGGTCCCAGCGTGCTGATGAAAGCAACGCAGAGGGCACCCAGGGCGCCGAAGCACATGATAGTCGCAATAGCGTGTCTTCATGCTGGCAATGAGTACGGAAAACACAAAAATATCCATGGCTACGCACGGAAGCGTCAAGGTATAGTACTCCTGCGCCAAAACTCCGATTGGGATTGTCGTGAGGACGCAATTGACGGAGCTAGAGTCCTCGGATCGTTCAATAAATCCTTGCACCCAAGAATCCTTACTGACCACCACATCAAGAAACTGGACCAACGTCATGAGTGTAAGAGTAGACATCGAAGGGGAGAACGCACTTGTTCCATTGGTTCTTATTCGACCTCTGGTCTTCCGGCACCCGCTCAACACCTCGCGCCTCCACACCGCTAGCGAAGAGTCGCTCAAGAACGGGACCAAAGTAACCCCACCGGTTGACAATGACCGTGTCTGGATCGGCTTCGGGGAGGGCGACGACATCGACGTTAGAGTCATGTACGAACCCCTTCTCCTTCTCCTCTTCGAGGGAGACGCTGTTGCTGGGAGACATGGTGGAGGGAATGCCTGAGACTCACCGAGTGGACCATCTGGACGGCGGGCTGATAAGCAGATGGCAGCGGGACAAAAATTCCAAACCAGCGCTTCATCAGTGATGGGAGCGATGAGGCCCGCTCGCACTATCTTAGCGCCCCGCCCGAGGCACATTTGTTTCCAATTTATCTGCTGCGAGCACGCGCTCCATCCGCCAGCAGACGCTTGCAAATGTCAGATTTTCGTTCCAGTCCAGTCCTATCTACAGGCACGCAGACCCCAGACATAAATACAGTTCTCCTCGTCGCTTATATCGCCAGGCCTATGCAGGTGGTCTGTTCTCTTTTTGAGCTGCAAGGCACATCATGTTAAGCCCGCCCGCCCACGTGCGACTGAACCAGGGACGTACCCATCGTGATCCGGTCGCCCAGGGACAGCGCGATGCCCTGCGTTTTGCTCCGTATCCGGACGTGGCCAGTGATTGTTCCGGCGTCGGTGCGCTCCACACTCAGGTTCGCCAGCGCGTCCTCGCCTTTGGACAAGTTCAGTACCGGATCTCATTTCGGCCGAGACAATCAACATGAACTTACCGAACAGACTTCGGGCATACATGTTCGCCGATAAGAAGTCGCAATCTCCCGAAACCGCACCCTCCGGTGTTAAACACGACATATTGGTTGCCTTCATTACGTGGCGCAGATATTCTCGCGGGTCACTTCCATTGTAACCTCAGTAGGCGAGGAAAATAAAATCGCGAAACAACGTACGATATCGACGTGGTGACGTTCACTCTGTTCTCCCATTCAAATTCTGTCCACATACTTCGGAACTGCAGCAATCCCCTCATTAGCCGGGCCGAGCGATTAATAGCGCAGCACCCACCTGCGCTTCTGTACAATATGCTGGTTTGATGTAATCCATGATGTCGATGTGGATATCGTTCAGGATCACACATTGCTCTGCCATACCAGGGCCCTCCCATAGGATGCTGCCGAAAATTACACCTGTTTCAGTCGAGGAGACCTACCAAACAGTACGGGTTCGATAATCAGCAACAGAGATCGGAACGAAATTCTCACTTTGATCGTTGCCTTGATGCTTTGGAAGCTATGTGGGGCAACTGTGTACACTGATGGTCTTTCAACCAGTTTCAAGTCTCCGAGCGTCGCGAAATCAAGACAGAGATTTTGTAGTGTATCCGCTGTTTGATTGACCAGAAGAACGTCTGAATGCAGGGCAGTCGTATGAGCGGAACGAAGTAGCCATAGAAGAGGGTTACGCACCTAAAAGAATATCGAAGCCATGCACTTTGACATAAGCTTCGGCATAAATGGGGTCTGAAAAGCCTACAAGGGGACCGACTACTCGTTAGAGCACTGAATACCCGCTAATCATTCTACACACCGGTGAGCTGCGATATGCGACTGAGATTCGAGATGAAGTCTTCTTGGATTTCGGTCGCCCCGGTTGCTCGTCCGACATCTTCTATATCCTACAACTCTAGTTAGCCACATGGTAGAGTAATAAGCACAACAATTGCTTACGTCTATGACATCGTCTGCAACCCTCTTGGTGAATTGACGAAAAGTCAATAGATCGTCCACCTGCACAATCTTCGCCTTCGCGCTCTCCTGTTCCTTCTTTTCCGCCGCCTTTTTCTGGATGCATGAAAGAATTGGCAACGAGATGGTAAGTGATCTAGTTAAGGCCACAACAGAAACGCACCTCTTGCGCCAGAACCATCTTCGAATATGCGATTCGGGTATCCTTGAGGAACATATCATGTACAACTGGCTTGGCCACTAGCTCGCCCAGCGTCTGTATGCAAGACATGATACGTTCGCTCGAGTCCTCGTCGATTGGCACAGTTACGAATTTTGACTGCCCAACGCGAATTACAGAAGCCATGATCAACATAGCCTGCGAGAAGGACGCGTCAGTAAACATGTAGGAAAACATACTCCAAATGATCCGTACTTCCGCCTTCAGCGCATTAGTCTTCTTTACATCACTGGAGACTTCCGTGTATCTCAGCACCAACTTAGTCAGGGCCGACGCGAGAGCGGATCCGGTGAAGAAATCTCCACCAAGGATTAAAGCTGAGTACACAATGAGCTGAGAATGTGCACAGGTTACACTGATTGTCACTTACTGCGCAACGGTGGTTTCGCAGCGGCTTTCACCGCCTCCAATCGCGCGCTCGACATACTGGTAAACGCTGTCTCGGTAGCATACGTACCATCTGCCAACACTTTGGGTTTTGTACTCTCGGTCTTGGGCTGTTGCTCATCCCTCTCCTTCTGCTCATCCTCAAGGCCAGTCTCCTCTAGCAACCGCTGCTCTGAAGTCAGGATGGGTATTTCCCCAAGTACTTTGCGGAGCTCGTAGAAGACCTCCTGGATCTGTTCGCCTCCTTCGGTATATTCCCCAAGAATCCAAAGCACCCCGCGATAAACCTTGCCGGATTTTATCTCCCCGAGTGTCTGTATCAGTTTCTCGCATATAGTAGGCCGCAAAGGCGGGAATTTCTCTACCACTTCCCTGTAATTAATGTCATTTTCCATTTGGTACTTTGGATGTAGCCATTGACACTCACCTGACGAATGCGACGACATCTAATGCTGAGGGGTTATTAGAATCGCCGAGGAAATCCATCAACGCGTGGACCACGCTTGCGGCTACTTCGGAGAATTTGACAGCACAAACATGGATGGATTGAATTAGAAGTTGCCTGTACTCCGGTGCCTGCCAACTGAGGTCAGTTTTCCACCTAAGAGTAATGCGAAACACAGTAACCTTCTCGAAGTCTTGTTCTTGTGTCTTCTGCAGCTGTTTCTTGAAGAACAAGACGATCTCCTCAACATTCCTGCTGGAAGTCATGCTAAGCACAATACTCATTGCTTTTCGGCGCACTTCCAAATCAGCGCTAGACATGATATTAATTGCAGGCCAAATGAGATTGGAATGACATCCAACCTGGATAGAATCTGAAGGATATCCATGACCAACGAATCCAAAACATGGCCATGCTTGGAACGAAGCTTGTCCAAGCGGTCAAGGACAATCAATTTGGCGTTATTGTCAGATTCCTTGGTGATGAGCTGTATATAACATGACGCCGCAGCTGACGATTTAAATATTCACCTGTGAACCAAGAAGATATGGAGATGAAAGCTGACCAACCTTTGACAGCTGCCGTGTTCTGTGTAAGTGAGGTCAAGGTGGTGGCCGCCTCGTACTTGACCGCATGCGATGGAGCATTGAGAAGCTCGGAGATCAAGAGTATATATCGTGACTATGTAGCAAATGATGAGATGTATTTTGCGTCTTATTCACGCTCGCGTACCCTATGTGAAGTGTCCCTCTTGCAATCTTGTCGGATGACTTCAATGATGCTCATCTGCAGCAATTCATCCATCGAGGGAATCTGATCGAATGTTTGCATAATGTACTCCACGGCCTTGGGCATCGCACAGTTGGCCAGGAATACAAAGGCATTGCGCTTGCAGGTGGCATCCGACTCGGCGGCGAGGAAAGTTTGAATGAGCTCGGGTGCGTCGGGGATAAGGTGGTCAAATTGGCGATAGATAGTGTAGACGGCAAAGACGGCATTCTTGCGGACATACGCATGGCGATGTTCGAGACATGAGCGGCACGTAGGTATCAGAGGTTCAAGAAGTTCCGCGTCTTTGGATATCTTTTGCAGGAATCGGAGGGTTTCTCCACGAATGTATTCGTTCGGGTGTTGCTGGCTATAGCGTGACAGACTGATCAAAACTCGGAGGCATCAGCACTTACAAGGTCGTTCCGAATGGCATTGCTGGGGGTCTATGAGAAAACGTAACTGCAAGAGCATTTTATACACGCACACAACAAGAATCATTTCCTGCTGCAACTTCCCATTCTCATCATACTTCGGACATACTTCCCAGTAAAAATGCAGGAGCTTCTTCAATGTCTTGTTCCGTGACGGCATTACATATTGAATAATGGGCATTAACAGCTGTGGCTACAAACACTCCCGTGTTAGATGCAACTTGGTGTTTCGTCCATTTCACCGTATATCAACCCTGAGGACATACCTGAGGATTTCCATTGATTGTCGAGACTATAATTTTGCGCAACGTGTCGAGCTTGACCTCGTCCGAGCCCTTCTGCAGCGCTGACCGAAGCTCCTGCGTAGAGGGCGTCTCGGAGCTGTCCTCAAAGACTATAGTATAGCACGAAGTCTCTGACGACGCCATACCAGAACTAGTTCGATTAGTCGGGGCGGTATGAGTGAGTTATAGGCTTATAGCCGAGGCAGAGTTGTTGGTATCTCGATGAGATACTGTATGCGGCAGCGGCACGTGGCCGTCTCCGCGCGTCAGACTCCATAAATCGAAGCTCGAAGCCTTTAATTGATCGAGCCTCACCAAATTACACCTAGTCGAACACATACGACGCGTTAGCATGCGCCGAGCCCATGTAGTTTGCCATTCTACATAGGAGAATAAGATACAGTAGTGCTACACACATTTCATGAACTATGAGCAACATAACCACTGCGACTTGTGTCCTCGCTGGGGTCACAGAACGCAAACAATCTCGCACTCAGTACTAAACTCACTAGCAAAACACTCTGAGTCTGACTACCTGAATTTCACTCAGCGCAGGTATGGGCACTAGCACCAGGGGCGCTGTAATATCCGCTTCAAGCATGTAACGTATCAATGAGCGTATGGTCGGTATGTCATGATTTGCGTCTACGAGGGATATTGGAATCTTGCTCATGACGGAAATCCAAGAGTAGCTCTCTGTTCACGTATGAGGTGTACCACATATATGTAGAGGAGAGAAGAACGCACCAGTTTGAGGATATTTTCCCTTTCTGCAAATGGCATTTGGTAGATTTCTTCGCGGGTCATTGAAGCCACTCGCAAAACAAGCATCTGAAACGTTGAATGATAAGCAGATATATACATATATATGCTTAGTCAGAAATGCGCACCTTGTGCTCGTCAGGTAAATTTGCCAGTGCAGCAGGAA